TAGCGGGTGAATTATTTTCCAGGCGTTGCTTACGGAGTGTCCGGTGAACTGAAGGTCATTCTCCAGGGAGTGCCTCTGCAGGAGGTTAGCAGCCAGGTAATACCGGGCCAGGGCTCAAACAGTATCTACGGGGTTGTGATACTGTTTCCTTGCCTTTTTTAAAAAAATGATTTATTTTTAGGATGAGGGGAAGGGAGAGAAGGGAGGGAGAGAAACATCGATGTGAGATAGAAACATCGTTTGCCTTTCACACGCACTCCAACCAGGGACCGAGCCTTCAACCCAGGCATGTGCCCTGACCAGGAACCAAACTGGAGACCTTTCCCTTTGGGGAGTGATGCCCAGCCAGCGAGCTACACCAGTCAGGGCTCCTCACTTGCCTTTTGACTTGTATGAGCTGCACACACTTGTCTCGTTCTTTTTAGCACCCGTGGACTGTACCGTTTCATTCTATGGCCGTACCGTAAGTTACGTAAGCAGTTGTACACTGGTTTTCCCCTTCTTCCCTTCCTCCCTCTTCCTCCTTCCTTTCTTCCTCCTTCCCCTTCCCCTCCTTCCCTTGCTTCTCTTTTCCTTTTAAACAAATAAACAAACATATTTACTAGGCCAAAGGAGTATGCATTTGAAATTTTGGTAGATATTGCCAAACTGCTATTCAAAATACATGCGTCAGTACGTGTATATTCACTGATAGTCTGTAAGAGCACGTTTCCCCGTCGTCTCCAAGGAAACATATTTGGACATTTTAAAACTCTGAAGTATAAACATCAAACACATTCAACTTTCTAAAAACTGCCAGGCAACACAGTGACAAAATAAAATTTGAGGGGGGGAAAAACATACCTTACAAATGTATTTTCATTCTCAAATTCATTTCTGATCTTTATTCGTGTACATATATGATGGTTAAATAATTTCTGCAACACGAATACAGTATTTTAATGTCATTGACACCATATGCAGGTTGGCATGTTTACATTTCATGATTATTTTCAGAAGAACCCGTCATGACTAGCTTTATCCTGTAGCTCTGAATTTTGAGAATTTTTCTGTCGTGTGAACAATTTTCCAAACTGTTGAGAACGTGGTTCCATGAATATGATTTCCTAAAGCAATGAAACATTAGAAGCATTGTTTCTGAAACGAATATCAAATCCTTGTAGTCGAGTGGATCTTGCTTGTCTTTCATGGGCCTGAGCCTCATTTCCTTTGGGAGGCAGTTTCCCGGTGAGCACCTGGACGTGTGATTCGGATGGGAATTCCTCTTGCAATGTCCTCAGGAGCCATGCCCCAGTGGAGACGGACATGTGCAAGTGGTTCGACGTCTGGCACAGTTTTTTCTTCATGTTGCAATTGGCTGCTTTTTCTTTAGTGGAATGATGTTTTTGGGAAAAGGAGGAAAGACGGGAAAGAGGATGCTCTGTGTGGGAGAACCGAGACCGTGGGAAGCTGCAGACCGCAGGTGGCAAACACGAGGCCCCAGCTGGAATCCGGCCCGGCACCTCGTTTCCACCCAGCAGCGGCGGCGGCGCCGAGGGCTTGAGTAACTGTTCCAGAGTAGTGACACTCACACAGTCCTGAAGTGACATTCGGCCCTTTGAAGGCAACTGTGAGGCTGATGTGGCCCCTGGTGATGATGAGTTTGACACCCCTGCTGTAGAGTCACTTTCTTTCTCACGCTCTCTTGGGGCAGGTGGTCCTGATGTGGAATTGCCTGTCATTTAAATAATTCCCTTTCTCGCGCAGGTAGTTGAACTTGTATTTGTTAATTGTTAGTATACTATAAGTCCATGGTAAGTTTTTTAAAAAATGAGGTAGTTTAAGTAGCAATAGCAAAATTAAAACCCAGTTGATAAAACAGATTTCTTACTGGCTCATGATGACGTTTTCATCTGTTATCTCGGAATGTTCTGGTATGTGTTTTCATGTCTTTGGTCCAGGTTTATAATAAACTGTCTTCATGACATGAAGATACCATCATTTTGTCAGTTGAGATCATTACATTTCTTTTTTTTTTAAATTAAGGACATTCTTTTTTTAATTTTATTTGTTTATTTTTAGAGGGGAAGGGAGGGAGATAGACAGACAGAGAGAGAAACATCAATGTGCGGTTGCTGGGGGTTATGGCCTGCAACCCAGGCATGTACCCTGGCTGGGAATCGAACCTGGGACACTATTACATTTCTTTAAAACATCTTTTTGCTGATTGATTTTTAGGGAGAGAAAGAGGGGGGAAGAGAAAGAGAAACATTGATTTGTTGTTCCACTTCCTTATGAATTCCTTGGTTGCTTCTTGCATGTGCCTTGAGTATCAAACCCACAGCCTTGGCGTGTGGGGACAGTGGTCTAACCACCTGAGCCACCTGGCCAGGGCTAGATCGTTACATTTCTAAAACGTCTACTTTGTGCTTTATTAATTTGAAAACCCCAAGGACTTTCTTAAAAGGAAATGTATTAAATTAAATAATGTCTATCATGGTATTATTAATTATAAATCAGAGTCTCTTCACTAGATTTATAAGCCCCCTGTGTTGTAGTAGTAGTAGTAATGATGATAATAATAATTGTAATCCTAAGAATAGCAGGCACCATTTGTCCTTTGCCTGCCCTAGGCCAGGCGCTGTCTGAACGAATTACTGCATTTAATCCTGCCAGAAAAAGCTAAATGAAGGTGGGGACTTTGTCTCTTCTGTTCACTGCAATATTTCCGTTACGTCTAGACGTGCCTGCCATAGAAGAGCTGCTTGATAAATATTTGTTACATGGCTGGTTAATAAAGTATAAATATTCATGCCATTTCAGCAATGAGGCCTCAGTCTTAGATTGATTAAAGCACTTCCTCAAGGATGAACCTCCAGTAATGGAACTGGGACTCAAGCCCACGTGGGATGATCCCTGCCACTTTGACGGTGGGGACACGTGTATCTCATTGCAGCCCGACGTGTGTAGTAATGCCATCGTGGTTACTGTTGCCTTGCGTCGGGCTGGCGTACTCTTTCTTACAGAACCGCATAGCAACTGTTTCAGACTCCGCAGGCCCGGTGCTCTCTGTTGCAGCTTCTCTGCTCCGCCGCGTGGCAGGAGCGCGCCCACAGTGACAGGTGAAGGAGCAGGTGTGGCCGCGTTCCTGCAGAACGCGGGTGTTTGCAAAAGCGGGTGGCAGGTCGGATTCGGCGGCGCTCCCCGGGGAGTGCGGTTCCCTCGTGTGCCTGCCGTGCCTGCGGCGCTCTCCCGCCCCCAGCGCCGCTGTCCTCGCGCGCCCTGCGTGCGTGCACACGCCGTGCGTGCCCTGAGTGGCGTGGCAGTACTCGTGGGTGGGTGGTCATCTAGATGGTCCAGAATATGGTTCCATTAATTTTTTCAAAATTGAGCTGGAAATAAAGACAAATTTTTAAAAGTCGTCATGAAGAATTTAGGGGTCTCCAGGGAGTCTTAGATCCTACTTTGAGAAAAAGGGGTGTAAAGAAATAGCAAAAGTAGAAAAAGGATAGAATAAATGAGATATAAGGAACATTAGGATATTTTCTGTTTTAATCTGTGTGTAACATTTAAACACTGTATTATTTAATGGGAGGCAAAGATTGGGGTAGAGGGAGCAAGCTTTTGAACACTTTTTCTTTGTAATTACAGGGTACTGGGACCAATTCCTGTTTTTTTTTAGGGCCTAGATTTCATTGTTGTCGTTGTGTTGTGTTTTTTTTTTTTTTTTTTTTTGCTGCTGTTGGTTGTGCTTTCCTCGGCTTACTTTCTTTTGTTTATTTACAATTCTTTCCTCTTGTGGCAAATTGTTACATAACTGTCATGTGTGTTGCAGGCTTTTTGGTAACATTTCAATGATGTAGGAAAGGACCAGTCTTAATTATCGAAATATTATTGAAGAATAGTGAGGAATATATTTCCATGTTAAATTTTCTCTAGGATATAGTTATAACTCAACTTTCGCCGGGCACCTTGCTTTAATGGATATGTAATCTGCACAGTCATTATTGACTTAGTTTGTGAGTCTAACATGTGAGAATGATCTATGACAGTGTCTTCTGCTTAGGGGGATTATTTGTGCTATTTGTCTAGGTATTTTTCTTCATAGAATAAGGCAAAGCTCTGCTAAAGTTGTCACAAATTTTGTTTCAGCAGGGTCCAAGCAATGGGCTATTTCTGTTCTAGCTTTTTAGGTCTAGATACTTGAAAATATGCATCTAAAAGCAATAATTATGTAAGAGGTTTTAATGCAAGAGTTGAGATTCTACTCTTCCACTTCTGAGGTGTGTGCTCTTGAGCAAGTTAGTGGTCTTTTTTAAGCATCTGTTTCCTGATCTATAAAATGGGGACAGCGTAGTAGTAGAAGTAATAATAATAATAATAATAATAAATAATACTACTAGCAGCACCCGGGGTTGATGGGAGGGTTAGATGAGTGAATGCATGAAGCGAGTTCGAACAAAGTCACTGGCATAGCCTAAGTCTGACAATGTAAACTACTGTTACCATGTGATAAAAAGTTACATTCAGGAGTTCTTCCAGTGGGGAGAGGAATACCTATATTTGTTTAATATAAAAATGGATATTATTTATATATTTTATGTGTTAACTCACTATTATGTTCTTTACTATAATAGCCTTTCATTATAATTATTTTCTAAGTGATATTTAGTAGCATACTTACCTGTATAAAATGGCAGGGACATGGGAAACTGCCTCAGCTGATCTAGGACTCTGCAGAGAAAATAATCCGAGTTAGAAATAAGACAGCCCGTATTTTATTCAGCACAAGAGGCGTGTACAAGCTCATTTAAGTACTGACTTAATATTTTAGAAGGTATCACATGGAGGAAAAAGGGTTTATCTTTTTGGCATCAGGCTCCCACTTTATTTTTGCCGATGCCCTCTCCGTACGTGCATATATACAGCTTGGTTTCCTGTACCTCTCCCTTCCCAATAGAACAGTAAGCACTTGGTTGTCAAATTACACAGTGATTTGCTGTCTCTCTCTCTGCCTCCAGGATGATTGAGGAAAGTGGGAATAAGCGGAAGACCATGGCAGAGAAGAGGCAGCTGTTCATAGAAATGCGTAAGTCTGGAGTGCTCCTGGAGTCCTTGTTTGCGTGCGTGGGAGTGTTTTTCTTTCCTCCTGATGAAGTCACAGAAGGTTTTAGTTACAAGCTTTCGAACGGGAAGAAGGAGAGTTAATGAGTCACGGAGTTGGCGAGCCCCAAGCCAGAGCGTATTAATCTGATGGAACTGACTCGAACTGCTTTCCTTAGCAAGGCCATAGATAGTGCGGCTGCAGTGTCACCTAGAGTGTCCGTCAGGCCGAGGCCTGCCCGTCAGTGCAGACCTCTTGCCGTAGCTCCATTGTTACCATGGGCTCGCACATGCTGATACATAATGAATGTGTCACATAGTGTCCCCAACACTGGATACAAATTCTGGCTAGAGAAGACTGTTAGTTCAGCACTTAGAGTGGGGGGCGGGAAGTTGATAGTATAAAGGCGTGCTTCAGTATATTACTTTACTATACAACTTGAAATCTGTTTAAAAATCACATTATTCTGTAAAACGGAAGAAAAGAAGATGGCGGAGAGGAGGTCCCCATTATTTGGAGGATTGATTTGCTTTGTGACTGCTTGTCTGTGTGGCCGGGACTAGCGCCCTCATTTGCGGGACCTCAGAGTCCTCCGCCTGAAATGGGGCCGCTTGCTGGTCTGGGCCAGTGACTGTGAACCCTTCGGAAAGCGTTGGACGGCCACGCGGTCAGTGCTGCTCAGCCGAGCTGGAGAGGGCAGGCAGGAGCCCAGCCGGGTGGCCCCTGAGGTCCTTTCTCAGAGGGAGGACCAGTGTGGGTTCCCAGGGGGAGCGACCGGAGAGAGGGAGGGCAGGGGCAAGCGGACCGCCTTTCGTCGCCTGTCTTCAGAAGTCAGGCCGTGTCACTTCTGCCACGTCCTGTTCATTAAGGCAGTCACAGGAACCTGCCCAGATGCAGGTACAGGGAAATCACCTTTCGTTCTTGACAGGGAGGGACAGTGCGCTGGAAGCACATGGAATACTGGTCTGGACGTTGCGTTAAGGCCCGTTTTTGAAAAATGTAGGCTGCCACAGATCTGGAAGGGGACCTCAGAGATCGGCTGGTCCGGTTCCCTCATTTTACAGAGGAGGACAGCGAGGCTGAGACGAGGCACGTAACAGGGCCACGGTCAGGTTCTGTGGTTGGCCGTCAGGCTGGGGCTGGAACTGACGCCCCTGGGTCTAGGCTACGGTCTTCCCTGCTCTGCGACTTCTTTCTCCCTCCCTGCTCCGTACAGTTAATTAATGCGGGTCATGAGTGTTCCTCCCCTCGGAGCTTGCAGAGGCCAGTAGACCTGTCGGCAGAAGTAGGAGCATGGTGCCTGGCGCGGAGCGGGCACGCCGAAAACGGACCTGGTTAACCCTTCCTCCCGCCTTCGGTTTTGTCAGAAGGCTTAGCTGACAAGTTCCTTGTACATTGTGCCAGCACAGTGGAACAGAGCCTGTTCCCAGCATGTGGAAGTTGAACAGTAAGTCCAACTGAACATGTTTTATTTGCCCCTTTTTCAGGTGCTCAGAATTTCGATGTCATACGACTATCCACGTACAGAACAGCGTGCAAATTACGATTTGTCCAAAAACGATGCAACCGTAAGTCGTTTCTTGTACATATAGCTGCATAGAGTTCTCAGTAATGTCAAGTAGAAGACTTGAATATCTTTTAGTCGTGTTGTAGTTTTGATGGAGTTATTTTTGTCTGAAGTGCTTAGCAGAATATAAACTGCGTCATGGAAAGAACGTGGCACTCCGCGTGTCCCTCAGAATATTTAATCAGCTCCACATGGGCTAGTTGTGAGACTGGCACGTTGTTTACGTTCTGTAAGCGGGAGAATGGGTTTCTCCTTGTCACGTTTTAATGAAAAGCTTCGTGCAGAATTAGTACAATGTATCAGCTTCTGGAGGAAGAGAAAAATATTCATATTTTGATAAAGGTGTAATAAGAATCAACTTTCTTGATTAAACGTAACATGAATCAGCCGTTTCTATAAGCAATTGCTAGCACAATTGCTGCTTATAAAGTAAGTAAATAAAATATATGTGAACATATGCATGTAAGATGCATAAAAATCTTTCTTAATTTCTGTGAAGGTGAACTAACTTATGGCAGAATTATTGCACTTTTCTCATATGTGTTTGTATGTATATGTCTGCATTAATGAAAAACTGTTTTGTGTAATGGCAAGAACATTGGCCTTAGAATGGGGAAGAACCTTGGTTTTGGCCCTGGTTTTGCCAATTATCATAAACCTGTGCCTCGGGCAAGTCACTTTCACAGCTAGATACTTTTACCCTACTTTAAGTCTTACTCGAAAATCCCAGCTTAAAATTCTCTTTGAAGAGTGTACCATTCCGTCCTGGACTGAAGTCATGTTTATTTTCTGGTGTTTCAAAGCATGGTTTTTCAAATTATGGGTTGTGACCCATTAATAGTTCATGAAATTGTTTTGGTGGCCCTAGACAGAATTTAAAGCATGTAATAGAGAAAAGAAAGAAAAATAAAAATCAGAACGCAGCTTATGTGGTAAATCTAAAAAGTATTTTTGTGAAATTTGTATTTCACTATATCTAGGATCTAGGGGTGTATGTGTGTGTGTGTGTGTGTGTGTGAGGTATGATTTAAATATAATTGTGTGGGTTGCGGTCAAAAACTCTGAAAACCACTGCTCTAAAGAACCTACTATTTTTATAATTCTTCCTGTAATTACTCTTAGGAAATGGTAGTCTGTGTGTGGAGTGTCGAGAATCTGAACCAGGCCAGTGGGATTCGTAATGCACAAGATGCATTGTTCTAGAAGTTTCCTTTTGTCATGTGTGATTCTCCATCCACATGAATTCTGTGGGTCCGCAGCACCTACAGGGGTCGAGCTTCAAGGTTTTCTCTACGTGTGTTCTATCTCCCTCTACCGTTGATTCAGAAGACCCCTTTTCCTCTGTCACTAAGCAATCTTTTCTTCACCCTCTTTGGGGAAATGCACAAGCATGTTCACAGCAGTGTCTGTATGTGAGAAGATCTGCTTTTGGACACTTGCGTCCCACTGCTCTGTCTGTCCTGTACCAATAGCCACTGTCACAACTTTTTTAAAAAAGATTTTATTTATTTATTTATTTATTTTTAGAGAGAGGGAAAGGAGAAAGAGAAGGAGAGAAACATCCATGTGTGGTTGCCTCTTGTGCACCCCCCACTGGGGACCTGGCCTGCAACCCAGGCATGTGTCCTGACTGGGAATCGAACCTGCCACCCTTTGGTTTGCGGACTTGTGCTCAAACCACTGAGCTACGCCAGCCAGGGCACAACTTTATAGTGAGTTGATATCAGGTAGAGGAGGGCTTCTACTTTGTTCTGTTTTTCTTTTTAAGATTGGGGCATTCTTGGCCTTTTTACCCTTACTTTCATATATAGTTTAGGCTCTGTCAATTTCTACTAAGAACAAACAAAATGAAACAAAGAACTTTGCTGGGATATTTTCCTTCTGCATCTCTTTTTATAAGTATAATTAACATACAGCAAAGTTCATCCTTTTAACGTACAGCCCTGTGGGGTGTTGTTGCGACTGCATTAAATCTGTAAATCAAGTTGGGAGAGTTGACAGATTCCCCGTGTTTCCAGTATTGAGGTTTCCTCTTGCAAACATGGTCTGTCCCTCCATTAATTTGGGTCTTTATTTCTGCCAATTGTATTTATAGATTTTTTTTGTAGACATGTTGCACATTCATCACTGGATTTATTTCTAAGTCTTTGATGACTTATGATACTTTTAAATTTCATCATCTGTTACTGATACATAGAAATAGTTACTTTTAAATCAATCTATGTTTAGCAATCATTCTAGACTCAGATATTAAATTTTGTAATTTATCCATAGAATTGTTATGATCTTCTGCGTGTATAATTTTCCTCTTTCTGAATAATGACATTTATACTTCTTCATTTTCAATACTTGTACCAATAGTTATTGCATAATTATTTTATTAGGACTTGAAGTACCATAGAAATGATGGTAGTGGGCATTTGTCTCATTCCCAATATCAGAGGGAAGGCTTTCCGCATTTTACTGTCGAGTCATATGTGTGATGTAGTTTTTTGTAGATACCTTTAATTATATTAAGGGAGTTCCCTAATGTGTTTCTTCGTTTCTAAAGGTAAAATTCATTGAAAAAGTTACCATTTTGATAATGATTTTTAACTTAATTTCATTTTGTTCAGAGGGCATGATTTATATGATTTTAATTCTTGGAAATTTGTCGAGATTAGCTTTGTGACTCAATTAAGGTCCATTTCTATACATATTCTTTGGGTTCTTGAAAATAAGGCATATTTTCTAATCATTGGGGGCAGTATTTCATATAATGTTCATTGTGCCTTTTTTGGTTGTTATACAGTTTAGTTTTTCTATCCATACTTATTTTTTGTGTGTTTGCCTCTCATTTACTAAGAAGTGTGTTAATACCTCCCCCAAAGCTCGTGGATGTGTCTCTTTGGCATTTGGTTGAATTTTACATTGTATATTTTTGAGGCTATTGTGGAGGAGACTTTACCTCTGCCCTCTTAGGGTCTCTGGTTGGCCTGGGAATTAAACTGATGTAAGACAGGTAGCAGGAGAAAAGTGTACAGATTTTTATAGCTCACGGGAGCCCCCGTAGGAAGATGAAGACCCAAAGAGTGACTAGGTCCAGGTGCTTGCATACTAGGTTAAACAAAGAGTAGCGATTTTGGAAAAGTAACTAAAAAATATAGAGACTAAAGAAAGGTAACATTTTAACAAGTCCGTACAGATTACTCTTGGCTTCCACTCCCTGTGTCTGTTGCCCAGAATGCTTCTCTCCCCCCGGAATAGAGAAGGCATCTTCCACGCGGGGTTTTACTTGCTGCTGTCAGGAAGAAAAGGTGAGGGTCAGGACACCTCGCCTTCGGCACCTGCTGTTCCTCAAGTGTCTTTGGCTCACAGGAATCCTTATGCCAGCGTGGCATGTTGGGGTGGCGTCTCCTGCCGGCCTTCACTGATCTGTCAAATGTAAATACATGTAAAGTTCCTGTGCCTTTCTGATGAATTAAAACCTTTAACTTGTTGACCGTTTATCTGCTTTGTGTTTTAGTCCATCTCGTTGACATCTGGAACATGATCGAAGCCTTCCGAGACAATGGCCTTAACACGCTGGACCACAGCACGGAGATCAGCGTGTCCCGCCTCGAAACCGTCATCTCGTCCATCTACTACCAGCTGAACAAGCGCCTGCCCTCCACGCACCAGATCAGTGTGGACCAGTCCATCAGCCTCCTCCTCAACTTCATGATCGCTGCGTATGACAGGCTAGTACCTCCCGTGCTCGCTGAGCTCTAAGAATTCTTGTCCCTTAATTGTTCTTCTTCCATACTCCCTTGCGAAGGGTTGTCCACTTAGAATCGTAGTTAGTGACCTGCTGTCCTGCGGCATGTCACATACTAAGCCCTGGAACGTTTCAGAGAATCACACACTTGAGACATGGAGTTTGGCTAAGGTGTAGTTGCCTATCCAGTGAAACAGAGGCAAGTTATGAATTTGCTTATGAGGGTTTCTATTTGATTTTATTATTATTTCTTTTTTAATTTTAATCCTCACCTGAGGATATGTTTTTATTGATTTTAGTGAGAGAGAAAAGGGGGGAGAGAGAGAGAAACAGGCAGACACGTCAATATAAGAAAAAAACATTAATTAGTTGCCTCCTGTATATGCCCCAACTGGAGACTGAAGCTATGTGCCCCTAGGTACGTGCCCTGACCAGGAATCGAACCCACAAACTTTTGGTGTACAGGACAATGTTCCAATGATCTGAGCCAGCTGGCCAGGGCTCTTTTTGACTTTTAAAGCTAACTTGTGTTTCTTATGTACAACAAATGCCCCTGAACTATATAGTATCTCATTTTCTCTTTATTTATGTTCAATGTCTTATTTTAATTTTTTTCAATGCAGAACATTGCTTTATAAGGTTACAATAATAGTAGAAAACTATTTAAATATTCTCTGAATTAAAACAGAAATGGGTTGCTCTCTTTGTATTTATGGAGAATTAAGTTGGTTTTATAAAAAACAAAAAGAAATCATAAATGATAGAAACACAGAGGTTAGTGGTTGTATTCCAGGAACTAAGAGTTCAGATTTCTCATCCTGGCTATTTTATCAGCCATCTGATTCGGAAGAGTTAATTCTCTGCTTCATTTTCTCTCTCCGTAGACCTATATTTTTTTGTTCATACATTTGTTATTAGTTAAATTTTATAAAATATTGAGGATTCTGTGAATTGATGGTAAAATCATACAAACGTCAAAGCCAAGTTACAACGTAGGCACTCACTAAATTTATAGCATTTTATAAGATGTTACAAGTTAGATATTTTATTCATTTAAAAGAAAATGATGTAAAGAAATTTGAATTTTTAAAACAAGTGTGACATGAGACATAAGTCCCAAAATTCTGATGCCATTTTTTAAAGCAATTTACACAGTAAAACTGTAATTTTAATACTGTCCAAGGAATGATTCTTTTGATCCAAAAATCTTAGTAAAACTGTAGACGAGCAAACGGGGGCTCGGCCACATGGCACCTTGACACGTGACCCAACCATCAGTGTTGAAGGAAACAGGTTTTTATTAACAGGGTTCCAGCCTGGGCGGGGGTGGGGCTTGAGAGCACTCCTGTCCCGTGAGAACTTGCCCAGGAGTTCCCCATATCCTTATCTGTTCTTCAACCAGCTGCGCAAACAGGTCCCTATCCTCTCTGGAAAGTATTCTTGTGGGTTTCAGAGCCGCCCTGTTCCCAAGAGAGTGGCTTCTCTGTACGTCCTTCAGAGAAGCAGAAGTCTGCAACTCAGCATCCCTGGTCAAGGTTCAGCTTCCCCGGTCACACATGCTTGGTTGAGCAGGTCTGCGTAGCTCCACCAGCTCCTCCGAGCTGTTCCCTACTCCGGCCTCTCCCCCTGCAGACCTCCTGGTGCACTCCTGTGCCTCTCCCGCTCACTCCCGACTTCCTGTCTTCACGCTGGACTCTCTTCTCCGCCTGCTCAGCCTGCCCTCATTTGAAAGCTTGGCCTAGAATTTCCTGCTTGACCTCATCACTGGCCCCTCCTATGATGTGTTAGCGTCTGCCATTTTTGCCAGTTCCTGTGTACGTTTTATCTTCGTTTGGTTGCCATCTTTAGTTAGGGCAAGAGTTCCCAGGGACGTGGGAACCTCTGGGGTGGACATCACCTTCCCCATCACTGTATGCTCTTCAAGTCAGGTACCCCTTGCACCCCGGGCGGCAGGCCTCTTCCCGTCAGGAAAGACACTGCTATTGACGTAGCAGTGTTGTGCAAAGTATCTTAAACGGCATCATCCACTGCCCCCTGCCCCCAATCAAGGGTTGTGGGGGGTACGCTCTGCTGTTTTCAGGGGACCCCGCCCTGCACCCCACTACAAAAACCGTTAATCTGCGGTGAGCGAGCAGCACCTTATCATGACACTGACACACGGAGTAAATCAGTTCAGGTTGCGCAACAAAAATTAATTCAAGAAACAATAGTTTTAAAGTCAGAAAAAAAAAGTCCTCCTACTGAAATGATAGAGCAGAGACTACACACTTTGAATCCCTGATTATATCAAACAAGGTAAATACGGTGCCTTGGAGGGGAGGAGGAGACGGCAGGAGGGAGAGCGGGACAACCAGGGTAGGGACAACCAAGGTGAGGGGCGGAAGGTGCGGAGGCGTCTCGGACAGGTTCAGAGCAACGCGAAGATGCCTGCGGGGTGAAGCTCCTTATACATCTCATTCAGGATGGGTTTGTGTGAAAACTTCTCTGTAGTTTGGGAATATGACTCTGAACCATTTTAAAATCCTGTTTTAGCAGCTTAATTTGGGTGTATTTAAAATTTTCCATTGTTCCCTCCTTATGCTCAATGCTAAAAACAAAACAATATAAAAAAAGCAAAAACAAACCAGTTCATTTTAAATTCTGAATATGCCCAAATAGCATGTTATAGAGTGGACACTGCTGAAAAAGGGTAATACTAGATTACCGTCTTACTCGGTAGTGATCTTTAAACAAAACTGAAAGTTCCTGGGAGGCTCAAACATGTCATGGGCGGAAGGAAAGGGGCCACATGTGAAACCTGACGAGGTGGGGTGGGGGTGGGGGGCTGCGTGGCGGCCTTGCACACTCAGAGACCTAAAGTAACCACCCAGGACGGTCTGAAATGAAAACGTCCTAATTGAAGGCAGCTCATGACGGGTTGTCATGTCCTTGGCAGGTATTTTTCCCTAACAGAGGTCAGTCCTCACCTTAGCTGAGCCTGTCTGTGGTCCTTTTGCATCTACGATAACACACCTTTGGAATGTCCGGTTGCCTTTCCCAGACCCCTCAAAGCACAGGCACCGCCCCAGGGGGAGACCACAAGCCCCCTCGCTGTGACTGCCGTCGTGTTCACTGTTGCCTGTCCACTGTCCTGTTCCCACCTGTGTAAAAGGTGTGTCTGTCCTTTTACTTTTTATCCAGTCCCCGAGGTTCCTCCCGCCTCCCTGGTCTGTCACCAGCAGACTTCACGTGACCTGTTTATGCCTCCTCTTTTGATTTTAATGTGTCAAGTAAGGCGCAAAACTGCCATTTTCCGGACCATTTCTCAATCCATTGAGCGTTTGCTTCCCGACGATTGTCATAAGTTTGGCTCAAATAAACTCACACAAATTCTCTGCAGACTTGATCTTACGCTGACACATGCATTTATGTACAGTATTTACTAGTGTCCCTACTTGTTCTTGGGTTGATTCAGGATGGCAGGAAAAAGCCAGCCAAATACAAACAGGAGACAACTAGTGCTGGGCGGGAGGAATTTGGTGCCCTCAACAGTCGCACATTTTTATAAGGATCTGACTCTTACAAGGATGGGATTATCGCTCTTTTAGGAAATGTCCCGGCAGTGGTGGAGAATGAGTCAGGGGCTTTGCATGTTTCAAAAGCGTGAAATCCTAAGGAGAAACCTAGTGCAAAAGGGAGAAAAATGGCTGCTCTGGTGGGAGAGCGGCGTGGAGCTAACTGCCCACACTGGCGCCCTGCCCTGCTGGGTGCCATTGGCCTGTGGGTGTCGGGGTGTGCCATGTGAGGTGACACCACCACAGCCAGCTCACTGAGCCCCAGGCTAAGTGCTTGGTGGCAGAATTATTCAGAGAGCAGAAGTGAATGGACTTGAAATTCACCTATTCCTCTTCCCATCACTTACTGTGTATTTTGTAGCTTTTCTTTTCTCCTGAGCGAAGTCTTGTGTTTGTGCCGATTTTCAGAGAGGAATCTTCTTGACGCCAGGGCCCCATGCAGACCTGCAAAGGGCGTGTTTGACCATTAGCTAATAATCCAGAAAGTAATTTTTTTGCTTATTATTTTGCCTTATTGTTTTCTTTTTGTAAGCTTTTTTTTTTAAAGAAAGGGCAAGGGGAATTCTTTTTCCAAGTGTGTTGCTTTTTCTTTGCCTTTGTTTTTCTCTGAAAGTTACAGGTGGTACCAGACTCCTGCAGTTGATTCAACACTCACCTCCACGTTAGTCTGATTAGGACACCGTTTTTCATCATGTGACTTCCTGCCCCAGAAACTTTCAGACTCCCTGTGGTTTTGAATGACATTCACACTCTTCAGGTAGATCTAACAATATCAATTCATAATTCTCGGCTCACACCAAACTCTGATTAAGCTACTTGAGGCACTTCTCAATTTTTCCAGTATGATGTGTCCAGTTTCCCTCCGTCCGGTCTGTGCTCCCCACTCCTCCGCCCCCTGCGCCCCAGTTCTTACCTCCTCTGCAGCCTTCCTTATTCTCGTCACCCACCCACTTCCATCCCTTTGGTGGCTTATAGTCTGTATCATTAGTTTGACTTTCAGTTACAGTGCTCTGAACTGCTTCCTAAGAGTGCAGATACGACCGGAAGTCTTTGAGAGCAGAGATTTTACCTTTTTTTTTTAATTTCCCAATTAATGTAGCATTGGATTCTTAATAAATATTTGTAAAGCTGAAATGACAATTAGTAGGCAAAAAATATAAAATTGTCAGACATTCTGATTATGATAAAATTGAAGAAGACTTTTCATTGATTTCACTTGATTAAGCTATTTGCTATTTGCCAAGTGGATTCTCGATTTGTAGTTGATGCTTGCATAATCCATTCGCTGTGAAGTTTTGTAAATTAAGATTAACTGGAAATATATGAATTTGAAAACCAAAGAGAAATGCTTTCATTACTTTTAGCTGCGTGTGATCACTGGACTGGTAACAGTGTTTCTAGACTAGAAGTCTGTTTTCAAGGAAAAAGT